TTATTGCTACTTTCTGTCTTAGTTACTGCGTTCCTATAAATAGTGTTGTAAGTCGCCTGAGGAGAACACAAGCATTGCAATGACGTCTCCGGATTTATTTGAGTGTTTGAAAAAATCCAAATACGGAATCTTTCCACTGACTTCAAAGGTACAGCTGGAGAGCCGCAAGTGGGATAAAGTAGAAACGTGGTGTTAACAATATTGTGATGTCGTATTTATCGGGATTTTGTTTACACGTGCTGGAACCAGAAAGAGGCACGTACAAGTTGATGGTGTGATTAGTCCTCATGTCCTGACAAGACAAACCAATGGTTGGTGACCCTGACAAATATGACTGTCACGCAGCTGATAGCACTCCTGCATCAGGGCTATCTCCTTCACTGTGTAGCTGTTACTTCTCGCCGTGTTAAACTAACAGACCCATTTGTCGACAGTGCACAGATTGAGCCATCGTCTCCAATGCATGGCTCTCATTCCTTTAACCTCTTCCTCGGTGAATGAAGTTGCAGCAGCTCGAACCACTGCACTCTGATGCATGGTTTGTGACCTGAATGACTGACTGACCAAACGACTGCTGTTCATGGTCTTCTTTCCTCTTCTTTTCTCTCATTAAATAACCTCTTATTGCTTACTTCCACCCGGTGAATGAGGGGAAATTGCTAGTTGCGTATTCCCCCTCCTGGCCATTTCTTAATAGCTATTTTTTATGCGAAAACATCCTTTCGTTTTTTATCGAGATCCTAGTAACAGAGGTGTACTTACAGGAATCTCTATTAAACTGAGCTTCATTGAACATTTTTCACCTGTTTGTTCCATTTGGTCTAGATGGATGCCTTTCGCTTTGACCCGACTGATTTTTTGATGTGTTCGGTATTATGGTAGACGATAGATATCCGCACAATGAAAGTTTTTGGAAATAGAGGTAGTTGGGCTGTGTGGTGTGGCTGTTGATCAGATTGCAGTTAATCCACGGTCAGTAGTGGGCATATTATTCACCAGCTACTCGCATCTCTTGGGAAGAGCAACAGTGGGTGCATCACTCTTGAAGTCGACGGGGAAGAGATAAACAGTTTTGCTCTCGCGACACCTGTTAAGAACGGATACCGCACTTACTCGATTGTAGCACAACAAAAGGCGGAGTAGTTGCAAACACCAGTCGCAAAAATTAAGACAAAACTCAATTCTTGAACAAACCTGTACTCTTCTGTGATTTTTTTGCATTCCTCAAAGCTATTTATTACAAAGGACCAAACGATGGTTTAGTCGAATGATGGTAGAATAACAATTGTTATGCCGGTTTTACCGAAGCTGATATTGTAGGCTTTTCTGTTTTACTGCTGTATGGGTAACACCTTATCGGTTACCTTCCCCGTAACGTACTATGGTTCATCGATTTGGTCTGCTGCTCTATGTACCTATGTTTGACAGACCGATTTGCCAAGCACATCCTTGTAATATTCCCGTCTCTTCAGGTTTATGCTTGTGTTTTTCACGAATGTTTGGCCACTTTCAATCTACCTCATGAACTGTTGAGTCACGTCATCGAAGCGCATCAGATCGCATTTACCCAAAGCACAGGGTGCCCCACATGTGGCCGGACATTTACAGGTAAGAGCTGTAGTTTTTGCTTTCTGTTCTGGGTTCTAACGTTCTCTGAACCTTCTTTTGTGCGTTTTACTGGGGTTTCACAGTTCAACTAACTTACTTGACTTTGCAAATATCCTATGCCATCTTATTCCACGAAACACGAAATAAATTGGGCTCACCGATGCCAGTTCCTCTTCAGGAGATCCTTACTTTCTTTGACTTCGCCCCTTAGCAAATGTTTTCATTTCGATAATAGACTTGCTCTACGGATGTCCCCAATCTCAGCAGCGCAAGCTCGGTGATCTGAAGTATTAATCCTATAACTGGGTCCAGTGGTAATTTCATCCACGTTTCCTGTGGACTTCATCGAGGCCCCACTTGCCAGCACTGGTTTTAACTGTCAGATTCTGGCTTATCCGCTCCATGAACACTACAAACAGGAACATCGCGATGATCTGTGTACTTGGCACTGGGGCTCCATGGACGGTCTGTCATGGTCATATCCGAATAACGAGTTGACAGCTTTCCGTTGCTATGCTCAACTTATTTCTGTTGCAGAAGCGTCTGCACTTCACTGGAGAGACTGTCATTCCAAGAAACAATGAGTAACTTTCGCAGGTGCCATTGGTCTAGTAATTGCCAGGTCTCTCAACCTATGCTGGAGCGGCGGGAAAATGTCAGATTGGTACACGTAGACCTTGGTAATCAGGCCGATTTCAGGCTGAGATGCATTCTTCGGTTACAGTAGGGCGATTCGTGTTTGGCTGGAGTGGACCTTGGAGACTGGGTCACTGAACATCGTTGTTAACAAGGTTCTCCAATCGACTCTCGCTTCACTAAGTGACCGAGAAATTAGGTCCATGCATGGGAAGCTTTCGTCCTTGCCACGTTGCTTTTGGAGAGTGGATTGGTTGAATGAATGTCGTCGGTTGCTATAGTTGCTTTCAAACAGGTATGTATCGCCAGCGTCTCACAGTTGCTGGATTGGACCATTGGGTAGTCTACGGTAAACTAACTGTGCTGGAGATCGTGCATGTCTTTTCCAAACCCCCGTATACCGTAGGAACGGAAACGACACTTGACCTGAACGTTTCGTGACCGCCCCGAGTAGGTGAGATTTATTGAGACACCACTGAGTCAAAAACACTGTGAAAGTTAGTAAGCCATGCACTCGTGGACCATTTCTAGGGTGCAAATATCTAGTTTTGGGAAGTATTATCGTAGTACAAAGCCCGAAGAGATTTTTGCAGCAGCGTTATTTAGAATTGCATCAGTTATTCCCCCCCCCCCCTAGACTCAGTGTAAGAATCATAGTTGCGAGTTGCCCGCAACCCAGAGACTTCACTTCCTCTCCTATTTTATAGTCTGCTTTCAAGTGAGCCGCTTGTTCGCTATACATGTTTGTACTCTATCACTGCAGGATCACCCCTATCACCCCTATCGTCTCAACTTTGCAGTGAGCATTGCATCTCACGAGACGTTTGATAGAGGATGGTGTGTTTGCGATTTCACATGGTGAAACCATACGGTTGAGAAGTTCGGTGAGGAGTTCTGCACATTTTAGCGACTCGTGTTTGCCCAGAAATCATATCAGTTGGACTATTTTGTAATGACCGTCTTGAATTCCGGCCAGCTGACCAAACTGAGTACTAGCTATCATTGGGGCTCGACCTATTAAGCAGTACACAATGCGGAAACTGCTGTTTGTGATACGATCCACCCAACCTCATCCAAGCATTGAACCGCTGGAAGGACTTGAGCTTTTTTGGAATTCCTGATACATATTCCCCGTGTCCCAACCACTATCCATCCCGGCGCCAGGTAAGACTCAGTGTGCGCGTAGACCAGGAAGCATAATGGACCCGGGAAGTGGAAGGAAACGAAGACGGTGGAGGTTTACACTCGCATAATCCCTGTTTGAGCGGTCCTTTTCCTGACTCGCTGCAGTTGTTTGGTGATTAGACACCACAGACCAAAGCGCCAAGCGGGAGTCTCGCTTTTATTGGAGCTCAGCAGCAGTGTATGTCCTCGACCACACCGGGACTTGAGCCCGGGTGTCTGACATAAAAGCCAACCGTCGAGCTCCTACTCAACTAGGGCACGCTGGATGCACCTGAACTTTCACGTTTAAACATGATTAAAGGATGTGGCTGAACGCAGCTCTCATGCGTCTGTAGCCTACCTTACTGGGAAATCCCGACGAGTCGGTCAGCAAATCGACAGAACCACGACTACACAAGACGATTGGTGCTCCCAACCACAAACATGTCACGTCGTTCGCTACAAATTAACTTCTTGTCAAGACCTCTTCGTCATCATGTTGACGCTTAAACATCAAGCCACACCCTGATCGAGCTATACCAATGCGTAAATTTTGCCCGCTCTTTTTCTTAAGCGATTTCACAACCTAGATGGACAAACGATGAATATCAGCTGTTACAGATACTCGTAGTGGCATAAATAACTCATTGTTAGTTCCCGGCTACCTCCAGACATCAAACAGTTCGTGCGACACTGGTTGCCACGACACCGAGGTCTTCCCCCCCGATGTGGTTCGGTCAGATACAAAGAGGCTTCTGGACATTTACCTTATTTGAACTCGCGAAAACGCTACCCAACCAATACAATTCAAACCCCAAGTTCGCGGATCAGGCTGGTAGCTCTCAAGCGTTTTGGCACTAATCGCTCTGTTGGTACCTTTCGGTAAGTGGTCCATTAATTTGTTATTGGTTGGGTTGTTCAGGTTCTGGCCAAATTGATTTGGAGTTAGTCTGTTCATTGTCTCTCTCATCCTGTTTTGCTTGCATTATGAGTAGTGCCTTGTATTTCTCTCAAGGAAGGTTAATACGTCATATCTATCTGGGGTTTTAGCTTGAATGTTTTAGCGTGACCGTGATGGCCACTCATTGTGTATATCATTTGCTTGCTTAACTGTGCGTGATCAACTGGTGGGTTTTTCTAGGTTAGTCCTAATCAACACTACGGTTCCCCCGGAATGTAGGCTTTTGCACATTTTCAACATTCGCTTACAATGCACTGTTGAGCCTGTAGGGCGTTTTTACACACTCACTTACCCAAACCCAAAGTGCCACTTCTTTTATCAAATGTTTTCTGGTACTCTCCATAGGTGTCCGATTTGTCCTCGCCGTTGCCACAGACTGAACCGCCTGCGTCTTCATTTGACATCCGTCCATAAGGAGTTACTCGCATCGGCGACTGAGGATTCATCCAAGCTGTCTTTGGAAGGACGGTCTAGTAAACAGCCGAGTATTTTCCACCAGTCTACTTCGGCTAAATCACCGACATCCTGTGCCGAGTCGTCCTCGAAAACTATGCTATTCCTGTTGCATGTGGACGAGGGGAATTCTCGATCGACCTCAAGGGTAACAAACAGTTCGCGAAACAGGTCACGGGTTCTGACATGTACCCATTGTGGGAAACACTTCCAGCGACCAAAGTTTTTTACGGATCATCAAATTTTGTGTCAGCAGGTTTGTTTGTGCCGCTACATTCAGGTCTTTGATTTCAGTCGGATGTGCTGTTTGCCCCACTGTCGTAAAATCTCAGTTCTTTTTGCTGCTGGATGGTTTGTAGTTGGAGTGTTGGTCTGATTGACGCGAGCTTCGAGGGATTATGCGTAGGCCACTGAATACAAAAGAGTATTTTTTTGCTCGAGAATGCCTGCTCACAACTGATAAGGCCGCTTGCGGTTTGCGGTGAACCGCATACACATATACCCGAACACCCTGTACCCGGTATAAACCTGCGGGAATAAGATCTGAAGCTATCAGTATGCCCAATTGTTGACTGTAATTATCATTCAGTTGAGTACAGCTAAATAGCTAAAATGGCGTCACAGTGTGAATGGCCATCTGGTGGTTCGCGCCACTCAGAACGAACACCCCAGGTTCATACATATGTCTAGTCAATGCCAATCATCACTCAGTCTACTCCATAGAACAGTAATTACAGAAGCCACTTCTAGCGTTGTTGTGGGCTCCGGAATCTCCAGTATATTAGGCCAGGAGTCACTTGAGCTAGATTCGGGACTGCATTAATAAGTCTAACCTAGAATGCATCTGCATTGCGTTCTGTAGTCTGTCATGAATTGGCCCATTCCACACGATGGTGGTTGTTAAAACTCACTCGTTAGCTTAGCCATCTCATAATCTTATGAAGCCAGGGCCGATCCGTCAACACAGTGATCCCTAAATAGGACGTTGACGGATCACTGGGTTCCCTAATGGCCGACCAATCCAATGGAACCAGAACACACACGACCGCAGTCGCTGCATATCCAGGTTGTCCGGTCTCCAAGCCTAACGGCGCTGAAAATACCTTGCACACTTCAGCTGTCTGGCTCGAAGTTGTCGATCGTTGAGTTGATGAATCCAGTTCCTCTAAACCGCCATTTTTGCCCCCGCTTCCCAGTTTGCTGGGTTTTCGTCAGTAGCCAAAGATTTGGGTGTTGAAGCTTTTTGTTTGTTGACATTCCGTTTCTTCGCATGCAGCTGTTTCAGAATCCTTGTCCCAACCAACGGCAACGGTTGATTATGATCGTAACCTCCAGCATAACAAGCCCTTGTTCAGCACTCGTTCACTCCAGTGGACACCAGTTATTAGCCTAAAACAGTGTATGCGAAAGTAGCAGATTGGTTTCCACTCGCAGGTTCCGGTTATTCCACACCAGTTTCTGTGGTTTGTCAGAGGACATGCTGGTCATGACAACACGGAATCTTGACTCGCAGTCGACGTTCAAGTTAGCAGTGTGCTTCTGAAGTAGCAGAAGTCCGTGCGGCGGTCCAACTCCGTTCCATTCTTGATGCGCGATGGAAGGTTTCCACGTGGCACAAGTTAGTGCTGAACGAAAGTCTTCGCATTGGTGATTGGAACGAACCCCATAGCAACCATCTAGGTATCTTCACTCTGTCCATTACCAGACTTTCAATATAAGATTTTTAGAGACAACTTACTCCCGTGCTTTTAGCAATGATCGCTACAGGATGGCCTAGATGAATTCTGTACTCGTCAGTTATGAAAAATCGCTTCGAGCTTGCTTAGCCCGCTGTGCAAATTATTCAGATGACACTATTCATAATTGACTTGACAGAGCCCTGATATGAAGTCATTCGCGGATAGGTTATTTCGCTGTTAGTTGACCGTTTACTCATGTCAGAAATGTGTTCTGGCTAACTATCTGTTCTTTAGGAAACCTAGATTGCTGAACACACAGAGGTTTACTATCAGATTTAGCTTGCTTTCTGATAGGTACCGTTTTGTTTGTTGTGTATCTTGAAATGAAAACAGTGAATTCAGCTACAGAATGCGACTGTTCAAGCTGCTTATTTTTTTATTTTTATTTTTATTATTTTTATAAGTTCATAGTAAAATTTATTGAAATTGATCTCCAAACATCTTATTCATTCTGTATGACAGTGCTTTCACTGCACAGTAGATGCCAAAAGCAAGGTAGAAACCTAACGGACATAAATTTGAGTTCTTCATAAGTAGGTACACATGTTTGTACAATGCGGCTGTCTAGGTGCATTTTTGTATACAGATGGTATTCTCTTGTTGCTTTTTTCGCACAGAGAATCCAGGAAAAAGAGCGCCGGTTGCGTCTGCAAGCTCATCGACGTGCAGGATTTAGGGAAGATCCTGGAGTACTGGCATCCCTTGAAACCTCTTCAACAACGACGCGCATCCATTCAATTGTGCCCTTGACACAGGATGACTCACCGGTTACCAACGCGTCAAGTGGCCGACGTTCCTCGCGATCCAGGAGTTTCAAGCAACCGTGGATTCCAAAACCTACCCGGCGTCGGAAGACGGCAACAAGTCTGTCAGATCCTGGCACGACTTCTGAACAACATACGACTATATGTCTTCCAAAAACATCGATTGACTGAGCTTTCTGTTTTTGGATGGCGGTTTCTCTCAGCATTTTAGATTCTTCAATCGTGTCTTTCATCTGTTTCTTACTCACTGATTTTTCGTAGTAGATATGCACTATTTTTGAACAAATAGACCATTTTATTCATGACAATGTTCTAAACGCGCCATAAACCGTCCATTGCCTTTGATAAATGCGTCTACTTTTATTTGCACTTTCTGGCATAAAAGTTATCCAAGAGACCATAGCTTTGAGAGCAGGAAATAACTGCTTAGTTATCACCTCAGTGTGCTGCAAACAAGCACCTGTCAACTATCATCGAACATTTGGAGTCCTGATAAATTTGAATCTCTCAAGATAGACAAAGACAGAGATAACTCCTCTGAGCAGCCGCCTTCCCCTCCATTGGTATCCGACTCTGTGCAATACCATTTTAAGACAGAGCACCTTCCAAAACGTTTATTTTCGGTCAATCCCTCGAAGCTCCTTTGACGTTTGGTGCCCTTCGGGAAGGACGACGTTACGGAACAGTCCACATATGGGTGGACTCTCCCAGCCTCGCATTCTGTTTCTTTCTAGATAAGAGAACCCGTTCACTGCACTTAGCCTATTTTGAACCTTCAAAATCCAAAACAACGCAAGCTCTTGAAGTTTGTCAATAAACCACACGTGGCGATTGTTTATAACCGGTTTTCTTTCTACTGGCACAAGAAAACAGCAGAGCCTGGTCCTCTACCGAGAAAAATTCCCCTTACCTCAGGTCTCGCTTCCAAAATCAAATAGATGTCGCGTATTTCGTCAAGTGGGTACGTGACGAGAATACCAGGTATACTTTTGCAGATTGTGGATAGGGCACATTCATGGAGTTTGCTGCAAAGTAGCGCATGTTCATGTGATGATGTTTCCTCGGTTACCTGTTGTAAAACGGGTTGATGATCTCTGTTGTCATTTGTTCGGTTTTGTACTCGAATATCTTTCTGGTTATTTGATAATTCAGCTGTGGCACCCTTTCGGTGTCTAGCTGCCATGCCATCTGAAGGAAGAAAGAGGTCTGGGATACTGCCAGGTTGCCCAAGCCCAGACAGAGGGAGTCGAGAGGCAGAGGTCAGGTTCGAACTACGGACCTTCCGGTCAGTAAATTCGCGCTCTAACTACTTGAGCCATCTTGCCCCCTCTGATTGTTTGTACGAAAGTCTCTTTTACCGACCCTTTTGTCTTAAGTGGAACATTTGTCTTCCACTAATTTCCTTTATATGCACACATCTGATATCCAAATGCTCACATTAAGAAGCTATTTTTCCATTGGGTTCATAGTCTGAATCATGCTCCTTTTAATCTGCTTGGCAGCATGTGGAGCAGATCATGGTGCCTAGCTGAAGTATCCTTGCTCAAATGCTGCCCACGGTGAAGGCCTGAGAGCTAGCAGATGGTGTTAACGTATCTTAGACACCAACCTAACCACAGGTTGGGTCCAGAGATATATGACCCATGGGCGTGTGCATTGGTTCAATCAATAATGAGCTCCTATCAGCCAAGGTGTAAATAACGGACGCCCCCCCCCGCCCGAGTCGGACACAGTAAAAATACTCCAACCGATTGATGCGTGAGTCTAAATGGGTACTCTGAATCTGTCGCGCCCGATCTTTCTCCGGTTGTATTTGTAGTGGTCTCACCACAGAAGTAAAGTGTGATGATAAGAAAAATACTGAAACCTCTTGAAAAGTGAAAGAGGCTCTTCTAGGCAAACGGACGACGGCCTAACTTTATTAACCCTCTTGGGAGGTGTCTCATACTGCATCCAAAACTAAGAGGTGGCCGAGTGCAACACAGACAATTTATATTCATATTCATGGGTGAAAATCGACGGAGAACTTTTAGTTTAGAGGAAGTTTGGTATTAGGACTACCATTTTTCATTCGTATTTGATGTCTTCTGGACGAATTCCGGCTTGCATGCTTTACTTGTTTTGTTTCTGCCGTTGTGACTACTTTTTTGGGTGATATGATCAAGCTTGTGTAAGCTTACTCAGCAAAGTCCGATCGTTGTTAGCATACTGCTACTCGGTTGCGCATTACATCCTTGGTAGATGGTCTACCTGGTTTCTACATCCCGGAATGTTAAAGAAAACATAATAAGAGGAAAATGCTTTATCTTGTGGGTGCAGTAATTTCCTTGTGGTGATACGTGAACGATGTTACAAATTTTACTTAATATCTACGGAACATTTCGTAGGTATCCATTCAGTTACCACCGAATATGGCTTCATACCAAATGCGTAGCCATGTGGGGAATTCAGGTGTGAGTTGACTTCAGTGGTTTCTACGTGGCAATCAGTAATCGCTGAAATATCTCGAGGTTTGTCCCATGAGCAGCTTCTCTTACCATACATCCGAGCCATGATTTTTATAAATCAGCGTAACCTTCAAAGCCACTACGCTATTGCAGCGCAGTTTGTGACTGAACGTTAATATATACTCCACGGCATCGAATCACGCGTTACTGGTGTGTGCTGGCGTGACTGCATTTAGATCACTTCGGTCTAAAAGTTAGTCATCGGCTTTCGCGATAGCGAGGATATCCATGCAACCAGAGACTGTCAGTGCAAGTCTCTAGCTGAAAAAGAAAAGAAAAAAAGGCTTACCGTTCGGCCGACTTGATCTAAAAGTTGAGGAAACGTTTCCAGTTCGTCATCAATTCGTGAAACATCAACCTATTGATGGTTCATACGAATAACTTGCACATTTTCCAAATTTAATAACAGGTGGACTGAGCGTGTGACCGTTTTAATACTAAGGCGTAGTTTACATAACCACTAGTCTAAGTTGCTTAAGCTGTCACGAGTGACTCATCCGAGAACATTATAAGCTTCCTGGGACACATTCAAGATGTGTTGCAAAAGGCGACTGCGCGTGTGTGTCTTTACAACCCATCCACAGGCTACCGTGATTACTTAGTCATGCGGTAAACAGTTATCTCAAAAACAAGCCATCCGAACACGTCCAACGTTGAACAGAACAACGATTTGACTGCTATCTCTGCTGACTTGCAACGACAAAAGCACCAGACGTCAGTGCAATGCTTACAGCATTGCTCACTGATGTTTGCCTGATACAAATAAGCCAACTTACTGCGTTTGGCCTCCGCAAAGGTGCCCACCAATTGCCGCAGATTAATTTGCTCTGCCCTGACGTGTGTGTGTTTTAAGTTGTCGTCTTGCTACCAAGGTCGTGTATCGAATAAAATTTACATTTCCTATTTCCAACAGGCGACAGTCGCGGAAGCAATCCGTCCGCTTCTCTCCGTTCGGACCAGTCCAGCTCTCAATTTCGAAATTCTAGCAGAATGTGGTGTGAGTCGCGCCCGTCGTTGCCAACTTTGGCTCCCCCACTGCCCTGCAGGTCCTGTGGAAACTCCAGTGTTTATGCCCGTTGGAACACAAGGTGCAATGAAAGGAATATCTGTAGCCCAATTGGAAGCACTCGATTGTCGGATCCTTCTTGGAAACACGTACCACTTAGGACATCGCCCGGGTCCTGGCATAATACGGACAGTAAGGGACATGAACAGTTTTGTTGTCCATAATTCATTAATTGGTAGGATATATCGGATTGTCATGATAACTACTCCGGACAGCTTGTATCCGTGACCATTAAAATCTGCTTGCATTGCTCGATGGTATCTGCTCTTCTATTATCTCCTCAGACTTGTCGGCCAACAGCTCGTTCCAAGTACACATACAGTGCTAAATGTGTCTTTTCTGTACTTAACCCACCTGGGTAACTAAATCGCGAGACAATGTTTTCCTTGTCGCTTTACTCCTCCGTAGGACTCTGCACCTATAGCGTCCGCTATGCTTATCCGTTTTGTTTTTTTGCTACTGATGTATCTTTCAGTAGCTTGTCGCAATGTCAGTAACCTTGGTTTTCAGTCAGGGAGGAAGAGGGGACAGTCGTAGCAGATCAAGGTTTGGAAGCATTAGATTTATTGGATTTTTTGTAAGTGTTTAGCACTGTATGAAAATTATCAGTGAAAACCCTTAAGTCGACTCGCTCCAGAAGAACCTGAACGGACAGACAACTAATAACAGAAAGGCGGTCGGACAGACAAGCTAAATCTGAGTCAGAAAATCCCTAAATGTCTGTGGGACACGACCCTTACAGTGCCGTTTTGTAAGACTCTGAACACCATTTTTAATGGTCCGGTGCCAATTTACCAGTTGCTCGAATAGTTAACGCTCAGTATGGACCCCTCCGTTGAAAGGCCGACCTCCCGAGCATTCTTAGTTAGCATTTATCACCCCTTTTTAATAAGGCTTCTTCTCTGGGAAAGCCGCTGTGTACCTTACAAATCCAAGTTACGCCCTCCGATGAGTCAGTGTCTCTTTCAATGGAGACCCTGCTGCAGGCTATTTCATGGATAGTGAGTGCTTTGGAGCACAGATTAACACAAGAGTGATTTCCCATTTGGTCGAAACCTGCTTAACGTTTGTTAGCAATGTGGTTGCATTCAAAACCAGGAAAATATCACAACCCAACAAGTTATACGGTTGCCACGGGTGTTACAACGGATAACGCACAAGACGTATTCACTCCTAATATTTCTCCTTTGTCTGCTGCATACGAATGCTAGCTACCATATGATAATGACTATGTGCGTATGAGCCACTCGCAGATTCTAGTGGACTGTCTTGAGTTCTAGTGGAGTCGAAATGCTTTCCAGATGCACAGGTTGTGTTGCAAATTTTGCCTGTTTTTAACAGTTGGGGGAGGCTTGTGATGCAAAGCAGTATGCCTTGATATGTGCAATGTCTTGGAACTACCTCATGGCAGTGTAGCGTCAGTATTAAACGGTGACATGCTGTTGATGACGATGATGATGATGACTAAGACTACTAACGTCTATGATGGAGGTTGGTATTCAAGGTAAAAGTGTTCAGTAGATATCTCCTTACAATGTTTATGCAAGATTTGTGGGATCTTTGTGCTAAAGGGAGTTTTAGGACAAATTGATGTTGTGATGAAATTACTGTGGATAACGAGGTAGGTAAAACCGTGGTATCATTAACATGTTAAGTGAAGCTACTTGGTTCACTGTTTAGTCTCCTGTATACATTCGGAGCAACAATCTAAACTGCCGTCCTAGACCAGAGAAGTACAATACAATTCGCGTGAACTATTCGCTTTTTTACAGGCGGGTGGCCTCCACTCGTTCATGTCTTGGCCGCGTGCTATCTTGACAGATTCTGGTGGATTTCAAATGGTTTCCCTCAGTGAGTTGTCTTCAGTCAATGAGGAGGGAGTACACTTCACTTCGCCACACAACTCTACCGAAATGCTTCTCACCCCGGAGGAGTCTGTGGGAAATTTGCAAGCTGCCCTGGGTGCAGACATCGTCATGCAACTTGATCATGTTGTGCATGTTTTGACAGAGTCAAGTGCAATGCACGATGCTATGCATCGTTCCATACGATGGCTTGATCGGTAAGTTTACTATCCTTCTTCAACGCATTTTGCCTTCCAATCATCATTTCCAACATAGCTTTGCAAGTTTAGTCTAACCTTGGTATCGTTGCTGGCTCTCTTGTCCGAACAACTATTGAGATCAGTGTTTATATTTCTGCGACCGTAAGATTTCATTTTGGTACATAAAAAATCCTCACGGAATCAGTCTGTCTGCAAAACGAATCAAATTGGGGACGCGTCAGAAGTTCACAAGGTAAAAACCCAAACCTTTGTGCTAAAAATTCTTACGATTTCTGAAATTGTGTTGAACGACACTGATCCTGCCTCTCCTAATCAATATGGCTGTAATGCGGTGACTTACTCATTCTGAATTAGGCCAATTTTACTCCCTAGATATCTTCGTTTGCACGCAAAGCCTTTCTACAACGGCCGTCGACAGTACCAGGCTAAAATAGACAATGCATAGCATGATATAGCCCTGCATTTGTCTATAGGCTTACATGTCTCACACTACAACACCCACGCACGCATATTTTCCTTAGTTCTTGACGAAGGACAATGTAGGTGGTGACTTGATGTCGCTACCAGTAAGGCGCAGACTCCTTTCGAATGTCACAACAGGAAGTCGACCTTCCGGACCAAAATTGTGTCACTATCTTAGGGTGATCACTGGTCCCTGCAAGTATGACAACCATACTGCAGATTTGGAACGAAAACAGAATACCAGCCGAATGGAGCTCCTCTACCGTCAACCTAGTTTTTAAAAAGGGAGCGGAAACTTCATCAGCCTGGTATCCTTTGCATCTAAGATGCTCTCTGGCATTATTTTGAGAAAGTTTATGGATTATCGGGAGAAAACAGATCCGTGAGAATCAAGCTGAGCTTCGCTCTGGCCGAGGATACATCGGCCATATCTTTACCTTGAAACAAACCCTTCAACAGCGCCACTCCTTCAGACGTCCCACGCTGGTAGTTTTTTTTAGATTTGAAAGCTGCTCTTGATTCTGTCGGTCGTCAGAAACTTTGGAAGTGTCTGGCGATCAAAAATGTCCCGTCCACATTTCTCTCCCTTATGAGGGCAGTGTATGCGAACTCCTGTGGGCGCGTACGAGTGTACGGGAAGCTCTCGCCTGAGTTCACGACATTCATTTGTGTAAGACAAGGGTGTCCTCCTTCCCCTTTCCTCTTTAACTTTGTTACCAATATGGTGCTTGCAATTTCTCTGCCTGCCTCTGAAACTTCGGGACTCCAAGGACGTTCCCTCACAGACGTTGAGTATGCAGACGATATTGTTCTCCTTGGTTCAGATCCTTCTCAATTGCAAACAATTTTAAATAACCTAAATAACTCTCCCACACGGTTCGGCATGCGCTTCACACCTGCAAAGTGTAATGTGCCGCTACAAGACTGGGTTGGATCAAACCCACACTTCATGCTTGAAGGTGAGCCCATCGACGTGGTAGCTAAATTTGTTTACCTTGGCAGCTGTATAAGTTCCAGTGAACTGGCTGGAATGAGATTATTTATTATTACAATTTATTACTATTATTATTATGATCCGATAGGCCAGAGTAGCTTTTGCCAACGGCCGACACTTATGGTGCCGACCTAGCGTGAGCTTGTCTGTCAAATGAAGAGTTTACACTGCGGTAGTGCGATCCATACTGCTTTATGGATCAGAGACGTGGCCTCTACGCGCACACGACATACGTGAGATGTCACTTTTTGATCGTTATTGTCTCCGAAGCATTGGTCAGGTCCGGTGGGAAAATCCGGTTAGTAATTCTGAGGTATGCCAGATGGTCTTAGGAAGAAGGGACTCTCCTGCGATAGGTGAATTACTCACGATTCATAGGTTGCGCTGGTTAGGACATGTACCCCGCATGTCAGAAGACCGTCTGCTTCACAGAGCTCTTTTCTCTTAGCCCTGTACTGAGTGGGAGCGACCGAGATGTGGACAGTGTATGACCTGGCAACAAAGTACAAAAACACTCACCAGTAAACTTAGTCCGGTGAGCAACTGCCGCCTCCCTGGATGGGGACCCTAAGACTCAAATCACTAGTTGTCAATGACATTGGCGGTAATGGCCCGATCGCGCAGTCAGTGGCTTTCGTGCATCAAAGCTATCGCCTGGAATGCGTAGCTACCCAATTTCTGAACAAATGGATCATGCCTTTGCCAACAATGATTGGTTGTGTGTTCCACTTTCCCGTTTTCCGGTGATCGAAACTGTGGCAGCTGAAACCAGCGTGCTATGGCACACCGTTTATAGCTGATAAATTGATTGATTGAATTTCACATGAACTTGTAGTGTGAATGCCTGGTGATCAGTTTCCGAATTGTTAGATTAATCTTATCTTGGCTCCTTTTCACCGCTTGCGAAGGACATCTTTCTGAATGACTTGTGTGCCAGTGCTTAGTTGCACTGAAGTTGCAAGGTACCTTTTGAGTCAGTGCGGTTTAAAGCGATAAGCGTTTATTTCAGCTTTGTTGTGGTTCCTGAGCACTGGGTGTCGGATCTTGGTGTAACACGGCACCCCGTTATAGCTGATAAATTGATTGATTGAATTTCACATGAACTTGTAGTGTGAATGCCTGGTGATCAGTTTCCGAATTGTTAGATTAATCTTATCTTGGCTCCTTTTCACCGCTTGCGAAGGACATCTTTCTGAATGACTTGTGTGCCAGTGCTTAGTTGCACTGAAGTTGCAAGGTACCTTTTGAGTCAGTGCGGTTTAAAGCGATAAGCGTTTATTTCAGCTTTGTTGTGGTTCCTGAGCACTGGGTGTCGGATCTTGGTGTAACACAAACTAACCTAACTGCTTCAGACAAAGTCTCTATTGATTGTGATAGCATATTTAAATCATGCATTTCAGGACTTCAAGTACAACGAAGATCCTTTCGGACTTTGACTACTGCGCTTTGGCTGCAGCTTCTCCTACTTTATGTGGATTTGGACACTAGCTGGCAAATTGAGATGGTGTCAATGAGAGATTCTAATAATTTCTGCCCTCTTTTGCGTCCTGTTGTTAAAAGAATCACCACATTTCGAAGACCCTTCTAGGCATACTTCTTTCACAGTCGAACTAGTCACCTGTAGAACAATGGTGCATTCAAACTTTGATAGTACTTGATGTATTTTTCCATTCTCGGAATATGTTTTCACATTGTCGAAACAGGGTTTCTGTGTTGTCGTTTTTGATCTCTTTCTAGTGGAATCAAGGCTCATGAGCCCCAGAAAAATAACCAAAACTTATTTGCCATTACACAAGGTGGTCTGGATCCAGAGATGCGTAAACATTGCATTGAAGAGATGCTGAAACGTAAAGGAGTGAGTTTCGCGCCCCTTTTACTCAGCTATTTGCAACGTCTTTTGTTTGTCGGAAGGGGCGTGTATTATCAACATCAGAATAGTGCAAGCTGTAATCGATGTTCTCAGAAAAATTCCGTTACTATCGTGAATGGAACTTCCCAGAATCCACCCAGCGGTTTTTCAGAACGCACGAGCGGCTTGCACATCAATGAACCCCTCGTAAATGCGATAGAGGGATAGAGAAAATATATTGGCGAGCGAAAAGGACGAAGCAGTCTTATCGCAAACAGGCTTTATACCCCCAGTCAGAAGTTTATTAGCAAAATGTACACATCTAATAACACTGAGCGTCGTCTGAGAGCGAGACACCACCAGCGCAATCAGCCTGCAGCTCTCCACGAACCCATTCTAGGGAAAGCCTGTCGTCTGTCAGATAGACTTTAGCCAGGCTGAGAACTGACGACATGTTCGTTTACGTGCCACGTGCTATGTGGCTTCTAGCCATATACGATAAGAATTACATAGATTCTGATAACCGGACGAATTTTTGCAGATGATCGTGATCATGGTTGATGTAAAATAACTTACTATGAGCATATTCTCTTAGTTGGGATATTTCCTGTGAACACCTTCACTTGTGCTCTTGTGAAGCTCCCTCAGAAAAGAACTATAGGTTGTTTGAGCACGGCTTCGAAGAAAGCACCAAAATGCAGTGGTCAGATGAGCCATGAGAGTGCTCCTACGTATGGCATAAATATCTGTAATTATCACAAACACAGTTAAGTTTGGCTTCAAGTCTTTTTGAGGAGTGTATAATACTAACAAATCCAACGGACATGGGAGAAAATAGCCGAAACGGCAAAGATACAAAAACGCTGGCCCAAGTAGTAAAATGGAGAGAATAATAGTGGGGTGAAATGTATAGGTTCCTGTATTCTTGTGCTTTACACATCTTGGAAGTTGCTGTGGCTCTGACAGTAGTGTGACAGACGAAGTTAACGGACGTATCACAGAGGCAGGAGCTGTTTTTGCCTATTTGTTCCACTTGTATCAAGAAGCCATTTCGCTTGATCCCAAAGAATACGTGTATCAGACTAAATTGTGGGCTGTATCGTTGTATGGCTGCGAGAGTTTGGTTGGAGGAGCTGAGACGTCTTCAACTGTTTTCCCACCTATGTCTCAAAACTATAGTTGGAATCGGCGACGAGATGATCAGGAAACGAGTCTTTGCTCAATCGCTCAAGGCGTGCATCCAGCACTGTCAGCTAAGTTGTCTGGGCCGTGTGTTACGCAAACTGAGTTACCGTCCAATGCGAGGAGCTTTGGTTTCCGCTCCTAATTTGGAGTTACGGGAACCTGGAGGTGGGCAAAATATGACAGCAGATGGGAATGAAGGATTTCACTAAAGGGTCTGGTACTGTTGTCGCTGTTCACCTTCCAGATTGTCTCTGTGACCCTCCCTATGCTTGGGTGGAGACCAAACGATATGGTGGCCAACCAATGTCAGTAGCATTCATACTGTCAGTTTCTATCCGGATTGTCTGACTGAGTGTTGGAACTGCATCTCAGATATTTGTGGTAGGTTAGCCCCAGGTTTTCCTCCTCCCTGTCCTATTTCTTTCTTTCTATTGCAGGACTTAATTCAAATAGTTTGATATAATTGTGCGGCCGCGAAGCACCACCCTTCCCATCTGGGATTGCTGCCAGTGAAGATTATGATATCACAGGTTCCTGAAAAGAGGTGACAACTGTTCACTCGGCGTGGTTTATATTTCAGGGCCGAATAGTTAGTGTTTCCGGGATAAAACTTCTAAGGAACTTGCTGCGAATCACCGTTTGTATATATTATATACGTCATAGTATTACAAATTCTACTAGGGAATTTTCCAGAACGGTCAGATTTCAGCCTTTAAGTGGGATGATTTCGATGTTGATCATAGCGTTCAGCCATCTTCCTTGTAACAGCACAGCACAAGTTGTTGTTGTGTTTTTGATCAAGCAGCTCGGCCAGGATGTTCATTATTCCGTTCTGTAAATCTATGCATTTTTTTAAATGTTCTGCCTAAATGACACTACCAATACCGTCAAATTCCGCGAACGAAACGAAAAAGTTTAACCATTTCAAGAGATCGTAACTTACTTGGGCGAGTTAATCGATCTAGCTAGCATGTAATGGTTCATTGACGTGTGTGCACGTAGGCTTCCACTTCCTATATCTTATTGATAAAGAGAACTATGTATTTGTTCTTATGTCAAAATCGAATACTCCCCTCTCCTTTGCCTACTTATGCTTCGGTAGAGTCTGGAGAGCTTTACTGTATTGCTTATTCGTCTCATTTTAACAAATTCATCAGATCGCCGGGTTTGCCATTGGAGGTCTTAGTGGTGGTGAAGCAAAGTCAAACTTTTGGCGGATCGTTCAGCTTTCCTGTGACCTTCTACCCCGTGACCGACCACGTTATTTGATGGGAGTAGGATTTCCTGTCGACCTCGTGGTGTGTGTTGCCCTTGGTTGTGATATGTTCGACTGTGTCTATCCGACAAGGACGGGACGTTTCGGACACGCATTGGTTCCCTGGGGACAGGTAATTGTACGATGATTTCATATCTGTTCACACAACTAGGTAGGAGTATTCGCTATAAGTAGTTTCATTTTCGTTTCGGGTAAAGTGCAGGTGACCCGCGTGGAGGTCACCTGGCAACACAGTGCCTATGTTGAGACCAGTGTTATGAAAGCTAGCAACAGCATGGACCTATAGCCATATGAATTCAAAGGACCGCACTCTAGCCAGCGATCAAAGCTTTTCGCACTGAAGGCGAACTCGGACTTCGACTGTGTATACAGCAGCACCCATTTGCTTTAATCAGTCTTGCATTTGCAAGCTAACGGTAACTTCAAACAAAAAGGTTGACGGATCCCATTGGTTTGAGGGCTATCCGGAAGGCTAACCAGTCACAAGTGAGTACATTTGAACATCCAAGGAGGCATGGAAAGTGTAGTAGACAATGCTGTTTATACTCCCATACAATCCCGTGGTTTTTTATTAATAAACCGAGGTTTTGCTGGAATAAAGTGAGTCTTGTTTGACCGATTTCTCACAACACAACGGTCACATCGCCAAATCAGTGGGCTCAGTTTACTACTCCTGGGTGTCCGATGTCGACGTCAGAGCTGCCAAATTCTATACGATTCGTCTCAAGTCCTGTTATTGTGTTTTGTGTTTTGAGTAGATGTATGGCAAGGAGAACCTACCCAGTCAGAAGTAAGTATTCTGCTTTCTGAGACAAACTGTTGTTTTGCGTATTTGGGCTTTCCATAACCTCTTGAGGTTGAGGGGACTCTCCGGTTTGGCTACTGGCATGCAATTTTCATTGATAATAGTGTTGTCCCAGTTCAGATAACAGGCTCACATAGGCTCACATCACATAGTGTTTTCTTTTGAAGACTGACCGCATTTTTCCCGCTTTTTACTATTCAGCTCAACCTACGTCAAGCCCGATACAAATCCGACTTCAGGCCAATTGACGAAGAGTGCCAATGTCCCACATGTACCCGGCCCTGGTCGCGTGCCTTCATTCACGCTTCTCTCTCTGGCCGACAGGTCACTGCATCGGCAGCAGTCAGTTTGCATAACTTGGCCTATATGCTCGGTCTGATGCAGAAAGTTCGTGAAGCAATTTCTACTCAGACATTTCCGCAGTTTGTTCGTGATTTTTTCGCACGCCGCTGTTACATGGGTCGAGAAGGCGAAGTCCGTGTGGAATACGAAGGGTTCCGTCCACCATCTTGGGCAGTGGATGCACTAGCTCAAGTGAACATTGATGTCACCGATATTGGGCTGCCTACTGAGGAGGCTTTTGAAACCGAACTTGTGGACTCAAAGAGAGTTAAGCACAGCCAGGACCAATAGGTTTTGTACAGCTTTGTATGTCCTTGTTTTCAGAATAAACTTTTCCGATTATTATTGGTTTTTGTTTTTGAAACAGAATCGGATAAAGGAGACGTCCTTACCTTGTTTCGTACCTTTTACAACACTCACTCTGGTTTCGTGGAGTATTTATCAACTCAGTGAGTGACTCACACATTTGGTGAGTTTGTCAGCGTTTTCTGTCAAATCAGTGAGACCGGTGTTGACAGCCTTACTGATCTCATGTTTCAGGTTCGTTTTATGAATTTAGTAAAAGTAGTCATCGTTATGTATTCCTTCGTTTATCCGACAGTCGTGCCTCGGTCTTCAGTATCCGAACTGCAGGTCTATCTTGAAACTTGTTTCGCATTGTGTGTTTAAGTGAACTGTGTCTATCTCGGAAGTTGTAGGTAGCTTTCGCAACCCTCACTGAAAGCAGGTATTTATTAAGAAAAGTATGTAGGTTCAGTTCCAAGTGACTTTAGCTTGATCTCATTGGCTGGTTTGTCATATCTGGATTGAAATAGGGTACCGATTCTGCACGGCACAAACCTTGTTCGTGGGTGCCTCGAATTTGTACACTCAGTATCATTTCCAATGAATTTGAAACACTGCGAACGGGTATTCCCAGTTCTTTTTAAAACCATTGTTTCTCAAACTTACTGAAGCAGCGAACCGGCTGAGATGCTCTCAACCTACCAACGGGTCATTGCCTGAAAATCGACAAACCATCACGGTCTAAACAAATTATGTTCTCATATTGTTTTGGCGACGAGGCGTTTGCAAATAAAATGGCAGTACTCAGCGAGCTATTGAGCTATCAGCTTCACAACCTGATCTACCAACATTCCCCTGAAAATTCTATCCAGTGAATTTTAAAAAAAACACGTCGCACTGTTGAATGGTGTATGCCCATACCTGGTTGAAGAACGGCAGAATGGATCAACAAAAAATTATCAACAATCATCATTGAAGCCTTGCGTTATTCTGAACCAATCCAGTAAGATAGCATAACGCGTAATTGGGGAGGCATCCTCACTTCATTCACTTTTTCCGTAACAACGATGGCTTATGAACAACCCTAAGTGTCGATCAGCTGAAATACATGACTCACTCTCCAGCTACTCCCTGAGTAATGGTTATTCCTTTAATACGACCCGCTCCTCCGTTCCCGAGTAGATTTTTCTATACCCATGTTGCCGAAATCGTCAATGTATGACCCCTCTTCAACTCACGGGTAAGACCTTAGGTTTAGAAAATAGCACTCCTTGCATGCGTTTTACCGATCTTTGACAGCATCCAAATCGTGCTGTCCCCATATATGACAAAATGTAATACTTAGAGACGTCTGCGTTGCAACACAGGCAAAGCAGTTACATCTATTTTTGTGACCCTTACCCAGCGACTGTAATGAGGCATTTTGTGCACCTGTGTGACCCGCTGAGCTATGCTGGCGAGTACTCGGTGAAACTCGTAGAGTTTTGCATGCCAGTTTGGTCAGTGCTTACAGTGGCTGTCTGTTGCATAGATGATCCATCGATTGGCCTTAACTGACAGCTGGCATACGCTGTTGAGTGAACGGGCGTAGCTGAATGTGAATGATTACATCCGTACTATTCTCTGATCTACCTCACGCAGATGCAGTGTGGGGGGTTATGTGGCGGCTGTAAATTCTAGCACTTATCGCCGATATCTCTCTTTTTGATTAATCTCGTAATAGCTGCTGTTTTATGCGGTGCGTTCCAACGAGTCTTGTTCACACGAAAGGTCCAAGTAGCACTGTCTTGTCTAGACTATTCAACACAAATTTGCATTCCGAAGGAGTAGGCCATCTACAGAGCAGATTAGGTTAGTTCATTGATGTGCTGCGATTACACGTCTCTGTACGAAATGTTTGCATTGACGCATTTTCCTTGAATACGCAGCACAACGCTGACTGGCTCTAAAGACCACCGGTTTTGGTAAGCCTTTGTGATGATTCTGTTGCATGCTGCCTTCCAAGTGACCACCATCCAAGCGTGCTTTCCCAGGTTGGCTGTATTGTCTATCAAATCTAACGGCTTATCCGGCTTGGCGAATGTTTTAAGAAACTATTCTCTGTGGACTCGTTTGTGTGTAACTGGGATTTTGAACATGGTTTTCATAAGCCCCTTGGTCAGTGATTATTTGTGGTTCTTGTCGGCTTTCAGCAAACAACACAGACACATTGTATATCTCCTTGTATATTTTTTGTGAGTTGCCTCCATCATGGTTGATCCAGTCAATTTGCGCTGTTATGTTCTTCATTACCTGGGCTAACGTTTTTATATGATGCTTTTGTTCACTTTTCAGATTCAATGTTGGCAAACTATGTGTTCTTTAGCGAATCGAGGCTTTTTTCCGCCCTGTTGGTTTTTCGTTTGCTCAATGCTTTATTAATTCAAACAACCTTCGTACCGGATGAGTTTTGGCAGTCCATTGAGGTGGCACATAAATGGTCTTTCGGGTAAGTTGGATTCTGTATTCAGGGGAAATTGATGCCCCTGGTGTTGTTCTATCGATTGGGACTCTGTCCTGTCTACTATCTACTCTTACTCGCTACTCACCCTGAACTCTGGCATTCTCCGATATTCTTTGCTGTATTCAAAGTGCAAGTTTCCATTCTGAGGTACACACCTTGAGAATTTCACCCAGGGTACCAGGAGTATCAGCATCCTTGCTGATTAGGAAGAATGCCAGACATAGTGACCTTGCCTAGCGGTCTGAAGCACGGGTCGGTCT